GGTATTTTTGAAGTGTCTGGCCTTGTGTACTACTGCAATGCCTTACGGTTGCCCACCAGGGCTACGTGCGTCACAGTTGCGGTGACATGTTATGCTTCGCCGGCAACCGGATAAGATCACAAGGGGCGTGCTCTATTCAAACACATCTGTTTCAAGCTATGTGGCTGCACTTCGGCCGGATGAAACAGCATTGCGACTTGGGAAGGTGGACATGTTACTAAAGGGAGGCTTACTTGCGTAAGTTGGGAGGCCATCTGGGAGGTAGTAGGGGATGGTTTGACTCCAGTGTAACTAAGTTGTTGAACGTCTTGGCCATCATTGCGGGGCCCTCAGGCGGATCAAAATTACCAGGTCCTCTCGAGCGAGTCTGAGAGCACCCTTCTTGGATCTGAGCGACTATAAATTTCCTCATTCTGCCTTTCTAACTCTTAGTCTAGTCCTTGCTTACGAGAGGAAGGCGGCAGGCGGGATTGCAACCCGTAGGTCCACGTCAGGACTCTGTGGGGAGTCCACCCACCGATTGCGGGAGCTCTGCCGGAACTCAGGAGGAGTTCTAGAGGCAGGGAATCGTCAGGTAAACCATTTTTATCTGTACAACCTACTACCACTCATGTTTGTTTATCCCCCTGCAGTATGACTGTTGTATGCATGAGGTTGTCCCTATGGTTTTTGCTTTCTCTACAGGACCCAATCAGACTGAATGGAAGGAACGTGTGAGAGTGAAGCCTAAGTTTCTTCTTTATTTTGGTTGAAAGCAGACGAAGGGATACACTAGGGGAAGGTGGGTGGAAGGTAGTCTTGCATGCGTTTGGAAGGGTCAACCAAAGCCTGAGCATTGTTTCCATGGTGAATGGCTCAGGGCTGTGTTTATTTGGCTGTTTTCTGAAGGACCAGGCATTGTTTCCGTGGTGAATGGCCTGATTGCTGTGTTTATTGAGTTGTTATCTGGGGGACCAGACATTGTTTCCATGGTGAATGAACTGGTTGCTCTAGTTGATTATGAGGGTTTGCCTGATTGAAGGAGTTTAAGTTCTTGTTTATTCTGAGGGAGGATTTTTGGTATAAGGCTAAGCATTGTTTCCATGGTGAACGGTTTAACCTGAAACCACGCACATAAGTTGAACTTAGTATAAAAGGGAAAATACTTTATATATATATATATATTTGCATGTGAACTGGCAGCTGGGCATTGTTTCAATGGTGAATGGTCCAGCGCTAAGCCATATCATTAAGAAGAGAAAGGGAAAAGTACGAAGTATAAATGGAAATAGTTTTGGGCAAGATGGACATTGTTTCCATGGCGAATGGTTCAGTCCCCTGCCCATATTTGCTTTCGTTTTTGAAAACAAAGTCATAGAAATACTAAATTTTGGATATTAAACGGTTCAGGGCGGCTAGGCATTGTTTCGATGGCGAATGACCTAGTCATATGCCCAAAAGAAGATAGAAGTAGTTGTGCAACCTGTTCATGTATATCTTAAAGGCAAGCTGGACATTGTTTCCATGGCGAATGGTCCAACTCTATGTCTTGCGTAAGAGGGAAATAAGGGTTTAAGGACTTCAAAAATTCATAAACTATCTTTATGGAATGAACTTGGGGCTGATGAGAGTACTGACCTTTGTGGTTTGGCTTGCATGTGACTGAGTGAGGCCATTACCTAGTCTGAGTCTTAGGTTGATAGGAGCTAGTGTCAATTCCTGCATTTTCTGTAATAATTTTTTTTCCCCTAAGGTCATTTCTTGCATTTTTTTAGATCTTTTCTTATAATTAGCTTTGTATAAATCTTGGCAAGCTACTTTCTCTACGGGAAGCGCTGCCGAAATTTCTACAAATCCAAGGGGTTAGTTGAATTTTGACTTGTCAAAAGTTCAACTTTGTCCTTTCTCTTATCTGACTTAGTTAAAATCTGGGAAGTCTCTCTTTTTAGAGGGAGTGCTGCCCAAATTTTTGTTAATTCGGGGAGTTAAACAAAATTGAACTTTGGGAAGTCAAAGTTACTTTCAAATTTTGGACTTAGCCTTTCAAAAGTTGAGGAGTTAGTTAAATTCTTAGAGGAAGTGCTGTCGAAATTTCTACAAAATTAAGGAGTTAGTTAAATTCTGTCTAAAGTTGAGCTCGAGCTGTCTTTCAAGTTCATATCTAACTTAGTATAAATCTGGAAAGTGTCTCTTTTCTAAAGGGAGTGCTGCGCAAATTTCTGCTATTTCAGAAAGTTAGACATAATTTTGACTTTCCAGAGTTAGAAATTATTTAGGCTTTCATATCCGGACTTGTATAAATTCTGGAAAGACACTTTTCCTACGGGAAGCGCTGCCGAAATTTTCCTAGTTTAAAGGAGATAGATTATATTTTGACAGGTGGCGATTCTGGCGATCCACTCTAATTAGGGGAGATTCCGCCGTTGTTTTGGGCACTGGTTTAGAGATAGGTTTAGACTGAGTTAATTAGGATGTTTGAGTGAGATTGTGATTTGAGGATTATTCTCCATTGACTTATAGGTTTAGCCTGGAGCATTGACCTGTCGTGTGTTACAGGTCCTCTTGATCGTGTGTTTCAAGTTCAAGACTAGATTCAGCTTGATCCCTTGAAAGTCATCCTCTGTTATCACTGATAACAGATCAGTTGTCGATTCGTCGGTTTGCGACTCAACTCCAATTCACCCCTGTCACTCAACCTAATGGTTTTAGCCCTGTGGTTTATTTGTTTTATTGTGTTTTTACCCGGACTTTATTGAATGGTCATTTAACAAAGATACTAAGTATTTTTATTGCTGGGAGGTTGCGCTGAGGTTGAGGTTTGCATGGCTAAAGCAAGGGGTATGAGTACAGAGAATGATTGAAGTTGACCCCGTGTAGAGTGTGGACCTTTGGTTGAATCTTTGATGTGATTGCAGGTATGTTTATGGTTCGGACTCTGGATGTGATTGTCTGCGATTACATACATATATGGTTGGAAGGAGGCTCACTGTGACTATGAAAACTGATCGTCCTATATAACCAAACCCCATATWTTCATGAGTGCCCTGAGTGTTTGAGAGACCAACGGTAATTGTGCATAAGGGATAAACAGATTATGTGTTTGAGAAAAAAGGGAGATCYTYTTTTATCCTCAGCTTCTTAGAGATTTTATGGTTSGACGTTGTAGTTTGTGGCAGCCGTCAAAGTCAAACCCCTTGACTTCTGTCCAGGCCTGGAGTGGAGCTCATCTCCAGGGCAGTAAGAAAYGACTGCCACCACAGGTATGGACCTGTGTACCACCAACTCTACACAGAGTGCAGAAGAGGGTGTGTGGTCTTCAACCGCGCTTGGCGGTTGTCCAACGTCGAGAGATTAACCCTCAATGCGCGTGTCAGCCAACACTTGAGTGTCGAGTGCCACCCTCGAGATTAACGAGGACCGCATGAGTATGGGTACTATATGATACGCCATCATTGCGACTGCTTGCGTACGCTTGCATTGCGGGTCGATATGAGTTAGCCCTGCATTCGTGCGGTTTTATATTAAGTCTCGCGGCCGAGAGGGTCCCGCGCTGCCCTGGTGCGGTGCCGGACCGATGCGCTCGACATCAAGGGTCAGCACAAAAAAAAAAAAA